TATAAATATTAGCACTGAAGTATGCCAAAACCAGTCGTGACTGTGCCGGGTACTGTCCTTGTGCGGCAGCTACGACTGGCTGCTACTTATTCCACTATGTCACTCTAGGTGTGAAGTGTTTTATGTAATATTTGACACTAGTTCATTTCTTTTGCTCAGGCTCTTCGGGTTGTTGGCATTGTATTTGTCTGGTATAGTAAGCTTCTCTATGATTCTGCATAGGTTGTACCTTTTCCACTTGTTGGAATACGCCTGTGTCCTTGTGTGAAAATGCCACCGAACAGAGAATGGTGTCCTCGCCTGCTTCAGGATCCATACATGATTTGACAGGTTAGTCTTGTTCTGATACCGTTCGTTGCGGAAACTCATTGTATGGTTATTGTACCAGCCTTTCAAGGGAGGCTCGGTGAGTTCCAAGTACTTTCTGTGGTTATTACCTCTTGCTTGGTACACTATTGATCTCGACAGACAATCACCATCAAGGGGGCACTGTGCGGCGCTACGGCAGGCAGGTACATGTCTTGGCAGGGGGTTGTGGGTGGCTTGTAATCGCTGTGAGAACTCGTTTGTTATTGGCACTGATAATGCCTTTTACGTTTTGCATGCAGCTATAACTGACCTTGGCTGTGTTCCTGTTGAATACTTTATTGAGTGGTGAGCCTTTCTGGAAGTGTTTATCAGTAAGACATAAGAAATTTCCGGCCGTGTTTGTAAGTTGAACCACGTGATGTTGCGCTGATGGTTTCTCCTCTTCTGGTTTCGCCCTTTTTCCGTTTTCTTTCATATTCAACCTCCTCTTCAGATCCATTGGCGTGGAGGGCCTTATCGTAGAGAGGGGCAGCCAGATTAAAAGTCTCGTTGTCGTGTGACAGATCTGTAACATCAAATAGCCCGTTACCGTCTCTCTTCCAGCTATTTGACGCAGATTGGGGTGTTACGAAGGTGCAGAGCTGTGCGAGCTAATTGGCAGTTTCGCGCCACACAAGCTGACGCAGGATTTGAAGAAGGAGGACATCGGCCTGTATCGTAACGACGGATTTGTAGTATTGCGCAACAACACCGGGAGTGAGGCAGATTGCACTAGGAAAATATTGATTCAAACATTTAATGTGTTGGGGCTGCGCATTACGATCGATAAAAAACGAAAGATAGTCATCTATCTAGATGTAACTCTCAACTTGAATACTGGTCAACACTGCCCGTGCAGAAAGCTCAATGATAATCCTATCTACATTCACTCCAAGTCCAAAAATCCGCCCAACATCATAGGACAACTCCCCGCTGCTATAAGTCGCCGGGTGACAGATCTGTCACACGACAACGAGACTTTTAATCTGGCTGCCCCTCTCTACGATAAGGCCCTCCACGCCAATGGATCTGAGGAGGAGGTTGAATATGAAAGAAAACGGAAAGAAGGGCGAAACCAGAAGAGGAGAAACCATCAGCGCAACATAACGTGGTTCAACCCTCCGTTAAGCAAAAACGTACAAACATAGGCGGAAAATTCTTATGTCTTATTGATAAACACTTCCAGAAAGGCTCACCACTCAATAAAGTATTCAACAGGAACACAGTCCAGGTCAGTTATAGCTGCATGCAAAATGTACGAGGCATTATCAGTGCCGGTAACAAACGAGTTCTCACAGCGACTACAAACCACCCACAACCCCCTGCCAAGAAATGTACCTGCCTGCCGTAGCGCCGCACAGTGCCCCCTTGATGGTGATTGCCTGTCGAGATCAATAGTGCACCAAACAACAGGAAATGACGACAGAGAGTACATTGGGCTCACCAAGCCTCCCTTCAAGAACCAATGAGTTTCCGCCACGAACGGTATCAGAACAAGACTGAACGGTCAAATCTTGTGTGGACCTGAAGCATGTGGGGACACCATTCTCTGTTCGGTGGCATGTTCACACAAGGACACAGGCGTATTCCAACAAGTCGAAAAGGTGCAACCTATGCAGAATCGAGAAGCTTACTACAGTCAGACCCCGCTTATCCGGTCCTCTTCTATCCGGATCCCTCGCCATCCGGAAGAAGATCGTTGGTTACAGCATGTGCCATGCATACATACAGTATGTGTGTTCGATTATCCGGTTCCCTCGCCTATCCGGATATTTTGTGGAAAACAGATGTTAGCACCGTATCCCTCACACACTCATACTCAGCCCAAGGCAACAAGGAATTGTTTTGGAGATAGTGTGCTGTTTCAAGTAAATGGTCTTGTAATGCAGAAGCTCACAGAGCTGGAAAGCAATGCCAGGCCCCTGGCAGCAACTGGCTCACGAGGAGCCGCAATAAACCCATATTGTGCCACAATGGGGTTGCAAGGCAAAGCCAATGCAATTGGCAACAACTGGCTCGTGAAGAGCCACAACTAGCGAAGCAAATGCAAATGGCCAGTTAGGAGCGATAGAGCTAAATGTCCCTAGTACCATTAGCAAGATGATAAGATGGGAGGGATGGAGGGTGAAATTTGATGCTGGCACAAGCTAAACGTCACCACTAATTAGACTTTGAAGTGAAGCCAACAGCAAGAAAGAAAAAGAAAGTTCAAAGGAAGCAGTTGTGTGACGTCAGGCTAAGCGCGCCCAAATCCATGCGCTGGCAGTGTGAGTGCAGTGAGCAAAAGTCCAAAGGAAGCAGTTGTGTGACGTCAGGCTAAGCGTGCCCAAATCTATGCGCTGGCAGTGTGAGGGCAGTGCGCAATGCACTGATGCAGCGGTGCGTGGCAGATGCAAACATGGCAGTGTGATCGGTGGATGCTAACACACACTAACTACATTACTGGCAGTGTGATCGGTGGATGCTAATACACACTAACTACATTACTGCGACATTTGCAGTTTATTTTTTATTTTTTACTATTATTCACAAACCCAACTGGTAAAATAAATAAGTTATGCGAGGTCTGACTGTATACTGAACAATGCCAACAACCCAAAGAGCCTGAGCAAAAGAAATGAACTAGTGTCAAATATTACATAAAACACTTCACACCTAGAGTGACATAGTGGAACAAGTAGCAGCCAGTCGTAGCTGCCGCACAAGGACAGTACCCGGCACAGTCACGACTGGTTTTGGCATACTTCAGTGCTAATATTTATATTTATCCATCACAACCATGACTGGTTTGGCATACGTCAGTGCCAACATTATCCCATTACTTATCCCTCACATCATCCATAACGTCTGTGTGATATTGACCTTCATTCGTTGAATCGTGTAGAGTAACGTCAATCTAAGTGCCAAGTATCACGCATGATCTTATTATGGTAAAAACGGAGAAGGACAAGAGCCTATGAGTTATGATTTACTGTCCACCAACGTAACCAGATCTTATACAGTCGGCGAGTACGACAAAATGGCACAAAACTGACATGGAGTACTGAGGCATTCGGCGATCTGACGCCGAATGCCTTAGTACTCCTTGTCAGTTTTGTGCCATTTTGTCGCACTCGCTGACTGTGTATGATCTGGTTACGTTGATGGGCAGTAGTCATAGCTCGTAACATTTTCTCCTTCTCCTTTTTCCAGAATTAAATTGGCTCACCATCCGAGTTCAACCATGATCTTATTCATAATGATGAGTCTTAAGTTTCTTATTATCAGTTGCCTGATGATTGCAGTTGCATGATACTTTGAAAGGAATTTGGGTGGACACACCCATTCCCATAGCGCTGCACATCCGAACCAGTTCTGTTATTTCTACAACGTTTCGGCACTTGGCCATCGTCAGGTAATAACAATGAATACCGTGAAAGCCACACAAGAGCAGTATATATACGCAAAGTGTAGCGCCAAAAAAATGCGAATTATGTCACCTAGTATGCAGAAGGGGGGGGCAGAGAGAGAGAAGGTGCAACTAGCACATCAGGGAGAAGACGCAGCAGAAGGTAGCGCGCCATTGCATTGTGCTCTGTGAAGTGAGGGCGCGTGCCGTGGCGTTATACAGAGTGTAGCGCCAAAAAAAGGATGTGAGTTATGTTACCTCTATGCAGAGGGGGGAGAGAAGGTGTAACTGTGCACATCACGGAGAAGAAGCAGCAGAACTGATACTTTGAGTTACGACAAATCCAAACTGCACCTATTTCTCTTCTTCCTTTTTTCGTGTGAAACGCTCTGCAGTTTGTGCAGCATTGAGCACTTTGCCGGTAATTGCCAAAATTACTCCTTTGCACTCGTACTCACATATAGTTACTTGGTCAAGTGGTGACAAACAAAAGTTGTGTCACTTGTATGATTGTACAGCCACGGTGTATGCGGTACAGTGCTTGGTCTGACTGTAAAAGAGCTGGTAGGCGACACAGCAGGGATGGTGATCTATTGACTGTAGTTTACGGTAGAACAGGGCCGAGGGGGGGGGGGGGGTGTGAGGCTGCAAGAACATGTCAAATTATCATCTTGTAGTATAACGTCAATCGCATTGAAACCCTTCTGGGCAGACATTGTTCAGAAGGGGCTCAGATGGGGGAAAAGTTCGTATAATGAGAGAGTGACAAATAAGCTTGTAGCATAGGGCTCATAGAATGACCATGTACAAATAAGCTTGTAGCATAGGGCTCATAGAATGACCATGTACAAATAAGCTTGTAGCATAGGGCTCATAGAATGACCATGTACAAATAAGCTTGTAGCATAGGGCTCATAGAATGATCATGTACAAATAAGTTTGTAGCATAGGGCTCATAGAATGATCATGTACATGCATGTGATACAGATTCATCGTCGAAAATACGTACTACCATGCATTGACGACGGGCATGCTAGCAGCACACACTTACCTGGTATATCTACAGACTACACGAGTGCATTGGTGAACTCAAGTACTGCGTTGTCATCTTTTTATTGTTTTCATTTTTTGGAAATTTTGGATGACCTGCCATTCCGGGTAATCGGCCTTCCGGCTGCCATTCCGATACTTGATCTTGCGGATAGTTGATGTGGGGATAATCTATGTTCCACTGTATTTGTGTGATCTTTTTCTTTGCCTTCAGAAGTGCATCGGACTGAACTGTGGGCCACTGTAACGCACGCTATTACTGCTGCAAACATCTACAGTGATGCAGAGGACATCAACGGTCAACGTTCAATTTTGCATGTGTCTGAAAAAAATAATTTTCCGAGTGTGCTGCTTGTTGCCGCTTGCTGCTGCTTGCTGCTGCTGCTATCTTGCTTGTTGTGCATGGATCATGGTCGTCGTTATGTCATAGCAGTGGGCTTGTGCGCATGTCTGTGTGTGTGTGTGTCTGTGTGTGTGTGTGTCTGTGTGTCTGTGTGTGTGTGTGTGTGTGTAGCTGTGTGGTGTAGCGGTCAATTCTTCAGCCTTGCAAGCTGTTGAATGGTGCAATCCCAGCACAAGCTGATATGGCTTCTGCTGTAGCATCGCTATCATCACCTCCGGCGATGGGCGTCCAATGGTCCAATGGTGTGTGTGTGTGTGTGCGTGTGTGTGTGTGTGTACTGAGGAGATGCTCCCCGCATGAAACTCACGGTTGCTAGCATGGCTGCTTGTACCCCATGGGCTTACAAGGAGCGCAGCATGGATGCTTCCCCTATCGTCAACCACTCAGCAGTTTACAGCTAGCTTTTTATATTCTAATGCCGGGAGAGCTGGGTGATTGGATGTGACATCGTAGCTTGTAAGGTACAGTGTATTGTGCGGGGCCTCTGGGCCTCCCTGCCGCTTGGAACGAACACCTCGTGCTACCGTCATATTCGATTAGTTGTTCAGTACAATTCTATTGTTAGCAGTAAGGTGTGTGTGTGTGTGTGTGCGTGTGCGTGAGCGGTGGGAGAAAGGAGATATTTGTATGCAACGGCATTCAGTGTCTGGTTCAAGTGCTGTTTGAAATAGGGTTGTGATTGGGTACTAGGGTATCCATACCGGTATGCTTGCCTCCACCGGATTGCAGCTTTTAGAAGAGTGTGCTTGTGTGTGTGTGTGTAGGGGGGGGGGGGCTATTGATCCCTGCTTCAGGTAGAGAGTTGCTCAATGAAATCCTATCGTGTGAGTCAAGTAGGCTCTGCCCTACTCGCAGCAGCTCGGTGATCACAGGTCCAGGGCAATGTACTTTAAAAAGGGACTCGATCGATGGATTTCATTGCAAAGTAAAGGAGGTAGGACTTCAGCCATCAGCATTCCATTTCCTTCTTAGCGTGCTGATGACCGAAGTCCTGCCTCATACTGAACTCTGATTGATTGATTGATGGAATTTAGAATTCCCCAAGCCGGCGAAGAGAATTCTAGTGCCGGGAGAGTTGGGTGATTGGATTTGACATCGTAGCTTGTAAGGTGCAGTGTACCATGCTTCTGCGGCAGTGTATTGTGCGGGGCCTCTGGGTGTCCCTGCCGCTTGGAACGTACACCCCATGCTACCGTCATATTCGATTAGTTGTGCGGTACAATTCTAGTGTGTGTGTGTGTGCGTGTGCACGTCTCCTGACTTTTCTTTCATTCTCGGTGGTTACCAACAGCCAGTGCATGCCACAGTATGTGATGTGATGTGTGTGCATGAAAAAAATTAAAAAAACCAAAACGTAGGGATTCACTGGCCAGAAAAAGCCACTTCATAGCTGTGTGGTGTAGACCAGGCTGAATAGTGGCAGTCAATTCTTCAGCCTTGCAAGCTGTTGAATTGTGCAATCCCAGCACAAGTGGCTATAGCTGTTGTAGCATCATTAGCATCGCTTCGGGCAATGGGCGTCCAATGAGCCAATAGTGTGTGTGTATGTGTGAGTGATGGCAGAAAGGAGATATTTGGATGTAACGGCACTCAGTGTCTAGCTCGAGTGCTGTTTGAAATAGGGTTGTGATTGGGTACTAGGGTATACGTCCCTGCTTCAGGTAGAGTGAACTCGGATTGACTGAATTTTAGAATTCTCTAAGCCGGCAGAGAGAATTCTAAAAATTCTGAAATGGCTGGTGTCAACCACCCTCAACCAATCAGAGTTCAACAAGTGTTATCTTCTTGGCCTGCTGATGGCTGAATTCTTGTTTTTTTTCTGCATGAAGGAGGAGAATCAAGCCTGGAGAAGAAAATCTAACCCCGAACCCAAACCCCGACCACCATCCCCATTCTACCCTCATGCAGAAACAACAGTGTTTCTCCTTCCTCATGCAGAAGTTTAAGCTGAGAAGAAAATCTATAAAATCTGCCATCCCAAACCCCGACCACCATCCCCTCCTGGAATGATTACTTTTATAGCCTATCCTGGCTCAGCACTTCACACCTGAAATGACTGGCCAATCGCCATCGGCCAATCAGAGTCCCTCCTGGAATGATTACTTTTATAGCCTATCCTGGCTCAGCACTTCACACCTGAAACGACTGGCCAATCAGAGTTAAGCATGTGTTTTTTTTCTTAGCCTGCTGATGGCTGAACGCTTATTGTTTCTGCATGAGGGAGCAGAAACAAGCAGGAAAACTCCACTGGAGCAGAAAATCTTAGAAGCTTCTTCTCAGGCTTGCTGATTGGTCTCTCCCCCCCCCCCCCTCTCTCTCTCTTCCCCCACCCACCCTTCTCTCTCTCTCCCTCTATATAATTATATCTTTCAATCAATCCATCTCCTTCTCCCTCTCTCTCCATTTACAAAAGGAGTAAATTTTGACAAAATCTATCTCCACTTATCTGTCTCGCCATGCTGGACATGGCAATCTTGGCCGAGGTATGGAAAAGTTGGAAACTCAAATTTACAAGGCTTTGTCTAGACGGAGTAGGAATTTTGCATGTTAGCAACAGTAAATAGCATACACCAAGGTCATCGCAAATCTCCATACATAAAGGACACTACATTGGCACCAGCTATGCAATGCAGTATATAATCCGGTGGAGTGCGGGCCACCGGATTTTGTCCCGTGACCAAAGCAGTCGAGTGTGCACATCCTTGGCAGCCTGGCAGTATCTGATTCATAGGAGTGAAGTCCAAGTTCCATTATAATCCAAAAGGCCACTCATCCCAATACAATCAAGTGCTTGTCATATTTCGCTATACCAGACACAATGTATCTGCACAGTAACACAAGGCATATGTATATTCTAAACGCCAAGCAGTGTGCGGGCCAACAAGCACTAAAGAACCGTACGCATGTGTGTGCGTGCGTAGTGTTCTTTCAAGGGGGCACAAGTCATTGTAATCTCCAGGTACCTTGTCAACTCTTCCTTATAGAAACATGTTCAGATGTTATTGAAGCTGGTCGAGGTCCTGCTCACTTGGATCCCGGCCTGCAAGGTTGTGGTTGGAAATTCTTTGAACAGCCTTTTGCTTGTATTCATCATTGCCCAACTTTCATCACCACCACTATAGTGTCTCAGCTGGCCTCCTCCTGAGAAAAACGAGAGTAACGAACAAGAAAAATACACCCGTGCATACACACACGCATGCACAAGTGCACACATTTACACACACACACACACACACACACACACACACACACATACACACACAACACACAGACACACAGACACACACACACACACACCAAACATGGCAATGAGCTACACATAATAATATATCCGTATTACAGTAGTTGCGCGTCCAAGAACGTTGTTTCCAAGGGTTTGGCCTGGGCGTTCTTATTTTCTTGGGCAATCTGGCTGCATTCTTATAGCACGTTCTTGGAAACAATTCGTTGTGGATCATATCTATCCCAAAAGCTGCCGGAAAACCAACACTGCCGTTCTTAACTTTAGGCTGTGGCGTTCTTAGCATTTCATGCCGGACGTTCTTTGGCTCGACGTTCTTCATCGCGTGTCTCTACCGTACTAGTATTACCTAATGATCATTGTAGTCTACACATCCTACCCGCTATCACATGCTTATCAACATCATCGTAGTCTACACATCCTACCCGCTATCACATGCTTATCAACATCATCGTAGTCTACACATCCTACCCGCTATCACATGCTTGTCAACATATGTTGTACTATATATTTGGCTACGGCCATTGTAAGAATAAAGATCAATCAAAAGTCAGCAGGGAAGACCTGTGATACACCTTGCAAAAGGTATCATTTGAAATCTGACCCGCAATATAAAAGCTATCGCCGAGCCTGTCCCGATCACTTCAGCCGACAGTACGTGTACCATTTTGTAAATCAACCAGTGTTACAAATCTCTCACTAGTCTCTACAATCTGTCCTTCAGAACCGGAGAAATACCACAGGATTGGAAAGATGCAACTATTACACCCATCCCCAAGTCGGGCAACCCCTCCCATCCTACCAACTACCAACCCATCTCCCTGCTCAGTATAATATCAAAAACACAAGAAAAAATAGTCCACTCTCGTCTGCACTTACCCTCCTACCAATCCGGCTTCAGGAAACAAGACGGGACCGAACTGCAACTCGCACAGATCGTCCACCAGATATCCACAGCTAGGGATGCGGGAAGCATGTTGTAACGTGTTTCTTCGATCTCAGTAAAGCCTTTGATCGTGTATGGCATCAATGCTTGCTGAAAAAGCTGAGCCACTACTGTGTCGACGGCAAGGCTCACAATTGGCTCGAAGCCTACTTGACAGGACGCAGACAGCGGGTGCAGGTTGAAGGCACAACATCTGCCTTCATACCAATACCAGCGGGAGTGCCCCAGGGCTCGGTCCTGGGACCACTTCTGTTCCTGGCGTACATCATTGACCTGCCCACTGCCTGTGAAAATGCTACAACCTCGTGTAGCCAGTTCGCGGACGACACCGCACTGATTGCCATTGCAGGCAGCTACATTGAGTGTGAGGCTGTGCTACAAAGAAGCGTCGATGCCGCAGCAGAATGGCTAGAGCGCTGGCACCTGCTAGTCAATAAAACGAAAACCGTCATCCTCCCGTTCTACCATGCTAACCGACCCCCACCACGACTACCCGAAATAAAACTTGGCCAAACCCTACTAGAAACAGTAACACAACATCGTCACTTCGGAATTATCTTTCAGCACGACCTAAGATGGTCAGCCCACCTTGACTTTGTGCTAAAGAAAGCTGTAAAATCTTTTAATATTCTCTTTAGGCTCAAATCAACTATACACACTAAATCACTCTCTCTCATTTACAAAACGTATATCCTGCCTATAATTGAATATGCATGCATTGCTGTCACCCCGCTCTCAATCGCAGCCCTTGACCGTCTTGAGCGAATCCAGCGTAAGGCGGCCAGAACCTGCCTCCGTCTCCCCCTCTACACTCCTCTGGATCATTCAACACTGCTCCATCGGCTCAAATGGCCGACAATGTTCTCTCGCCGCAAAGTGAAGCTCACCCTTGTTGCTCACTCCATAAAATACCAATATGCCCCACAACACATACGCTTGCTCAACACCCCCGCTCAAGTTACGACCCAGTACAGCCTTCGACACCCACGCACTTGGCACCTCCCACCCTCCAGAACCGATCGCTGTAAAGACTCCCCACTGTACAAGTCCCTAGAATACTACAATGCCCTCCCTGCTAGCATTCGTGACGTCTCCTCCCGACCTGCTTTCAAACAAGAAATCTGCTCACTGCTGATTAACTCAATCTGCTCCTGCAGCACTCACCCTCTCCCATACTTGTAAAGTTCAAAGTGATGTAAATCACTTTCAAACCGTTTAACCCACAATCTCACCTTCTCATAAATTTATCTCTTATTGGCGATGGTGCCATCGTGAGAGTAAGGAATTCAAACACAGTATGCATCGGATATGCATGTGTCATTCAACTATTTTTTGCATGTGTCATTCAACTATTTTATTCATGTGTCATTCAACTATTTTATTCATGTGTCATTCAACTATTTTTCATGTAGTGAAATACATCATTGTACTAGCAAGACGCTTCTACAAGTTGTCAGTACTGAGTGCAGGATAACTGGGTAACTTTTGTTAGAACTCCGGTCGTACTTCTCAACTTTTAACCACTGGCAACGTGTTGCGCATATACCGATACCTAGTTAGGTTGACAAAACATTCAAAGTCGGACTTGCCTGTTATACACTGAATATCAACAAAGATAGAAATGCTGGGCCCGAAAGGAGGGGAGGTGGGGGGGGGGGGGGGGGTGTGTGGCTTAAACCCTGATGCAGCTGTCAAACCTGCAAAACACAGCATGTACACAAGCGGAATGTTCACTGAATAGCGTTAGCCTGAGTGAGTTTGTATGTGCACAGTACCATTCATACAAGTACAGTCATACAATTTTCAGGTCGTCAAGATAGCATGCAACTTCCGTCTTTTTCGTTAGACAGGTTCCTCTGTCCAAACACACAATGAGAACAGTATGATTGAACGGCATTCACAAGTTACAAATTGCCCAGGTCTGCTCAAACCTGAAATCAATCTATCTCGAAGTTTTGGGCCTTTTTGCCCGTGATTCTTCACTTTGCGACTAAACTATTCACAGCAGTCCCAAATTTTCGGCGTCACTGAATGCGGGTGCCAGCGGCCTACCAGTAAACCAAAAATGAAAACAATGCGACCACTCACATCACAGCTGGGTCATGTTGTACAGAGGTACGTTGGAAGTGACATGTCGGCAAATGATGAAAGATGACAATTTCTCACCTTTCTGCCCGCTTGAAGCTCAAGAACTGACCATCGACACCCGGATCTGGTTCCATAGCTGGACAGGGCTGCTCAAAGCTGAAAATCAATCCATCTCGAAGTTTTGGGCCCTTTTGCCCGTGATTCTTCATTTTGCGACTAAACTATACTCAGCAGTCCCAAATTTTCGGCGTCGCTGAATGCGGGTGCCAGCGGCTTACAAGTAAACCAAAAATGAAATCAATGCGACAATTCACATCACAGCTGGGTAATGTTATACAGAGGTACGTTGAAAGTGACACGTGGGCACAAATGGTCAAAAAGCGACAATTTCTCACCTTTCTGCCCGTTTGAAGGTCAAGAACTGACCATTGCCACCCGGATCTTGTTGCATAGCTGGACATAGGGAAGTGCACAAAGAAAAATTTCCAAATTTCAATAAACACTTCGCCGAGGCCTGCTCAAAGCTGAAATCAATCCATCGTGACGTTTTGGGCCCTTTTGCCCGTGATTCTTCACTTTGCGACAAAACTATTCACAGTAAAGCCAAATTTTCAGCGTCACTGAATGCGGGTGCCTGCGGCCTACAAGAAAACCAAAAATGAAATCAATGCGACGACACACATCACAGCTGGGTCATGTTGTACAGAGGTACGTTGAAAGTTACACGTGGGCACAAATGGTCAAAAAGCGACAATTCCTCACCTTTCTGCCCGTTGGAAGCTCAACAACTGGCCATCGCCACCCTGATCTTGTTGCATAGCTGGACATAGGGAAGTGCACCAAGAAAAAATTCCCCATTTCAATAAACACTTTGCCCAGGGCTGCTCACTGCTGAAATCAATCAATCTCGAAGTTTAGGGCCCTTTTGCCCATGATTCTTCATTTTGCGACTAAACTATTCACAGCAGTCCCAAATTTTCGGCGTCACTGAATGCGGGTGCCAGCGGCCTACAGGTAAACCAAAAATCAAATCAATTCGACCACTCACATCACAGCTGGGTCATGTTGTGCAAAGGTACGTTGAAAGTGACACGTGGGCACAAATGGTCAAAAAGCGACAATTTCTCACCTTTCTGCCCGTTCGAAGCTCAAAAACTGACCATCGCCAACCGGATCTTGTTGCATAGCTGGATATAGGGAAGTGCACCAAGAAATAATTCCACAAATTCTGGGTCCCTGAATGTGGGTGCCAGCGCCCTACAAGCAAACCAAAAATCAAACCAATGCGACCACTGACATTACAGCTGGCTCATGTTATAGAGAGGTACGTTGAAATTAAAAGTTGAGACCAAATGGTCAAAATCCGACATTTTCTCACCTTTCTGCCCGTTCGCAGGTCAGAAATTGACAATGACAATCCTCTGGACATAGACAAGGGCACCCAGAAAAAGACCCACATTTCTCTAAAGAACTCGCCCAGGGCTGCTGATAGATGTATAATAACCTATCTCAAAGTTTGGGGCTTTTTAGCCGTGAATCTTCACTTTGCGAATAAACTATTCACAGCAGTGCCAAATTTTATGGGTCACTGAATGTGGGTGCCAGCGCCCTACAAGCAACCCAAAAATCAAACCAATGCGACCACTGACATTACAGCTGGCTCATGTTATAGAGAGGTACGTTGAAATTTAAAGCTGAGACCAAATGGTCAAAATCAGACATTTTTTCACCTTTCTGCCCGTTCGCAGCTCACAAAATGAAAAAGACCATCCTCATCTCGTTGTGTAGCTGGACATAGACAAGGGCAGGGTACAACTTACTAGCCTGTTTGACCTTTTTTGGGTGCAGTCCTGTCACTCGAGTTGAACTCGAGTTGAACCTTGGTGTGAAAGTTGTCACCTGCTGGCGTGGTGACCAGGTGATTTGGGCACGCAGGACCACGTGACCGCTTCTTCAACCATGTTCGATTGGGAATAAAGGAGGAACGCTGCATCGCAGCCTTTTCGGACCAAAACCATTCGACTCAGCGTCCAAAAGACTACAACATATGGGCCAATCGCGGTCATCCGTGCTTTTATAAGAACGAAATGGCGCTTTTAGTGACATTTTGCATACAAATCCCCATCTAGTAGGGCGCAGTCACCCAGTTTCGGTGGAAGTGCGCGAGTTCGATTGGGATTCAAGTAGGAAGGGAGCGTCTCAGCTTCCTCGGACCACGACCATTCGACTCAGCACTCCGAAGACTACAACTGGTGAAATTTTAATTTTTGCCTTAACTTCCCCTTTAAACTATTCACAGCAGTGCCAAAATTTCTGGGTCACTGAATGTGGGTGCCAGCGCCCTACAAGCAAACCAATTCGACCACTGACATTACAGCTGGCTCATGTTATAGAGAGGTACGTTGAAATTGGAAGGTGAGACCAACTGGTCAAAATCCGACATTTTCTCATTTTTATGCCTGTTCGCAGCTCAGAAATTGACAAAGACAATCCTCATCTCGTTGTGTAGCTGGTCATAGACAAGGGCACCAAGAAAAACAATCACATTTCTCTAAACAGCTCGCCCAGGGCTGCTGAAAGCTGAATAATAACCTATCTCAAAGTTTGGGGCTTTTTACCCGTGAATCTTCACTTTGCGACGAAACTACTTCCTCCGTTAACAAAAACTTCGTGATGGATTTTGATGGATATGAAAACGCTTAGAACAGGTCAAGAACAGTTTGTGTCGACTGCAAATCACTGGACGAAGGTGATGTACAGCCTCTTGACGAGAGAAACTGTTGGCGGAATGAGCAGAGAGTTCAGTTTGCGTCGCTTTCGCTCGATTCATTTTGACCTGCGTCGCTGTCGTCATCTGCTGCACGCGAGTCATCATCTGCTGTACGCGAGTAGTCATCTCTCTCGAATTCGTTGTTCAACTCGTTTCAGCCTTGCCTCGGCTTCTTTGATCACACTCCGCTTGATGTCGCCGTCGTTCAAGTAAGTTTGCTTTCAAGCTGCGTGATCCGCCGCGATGGCGATTACTCGTTTCCACCAGGGAGTCGTGAAAAATATTTTACGACTCCCTGGATTCATCTTTGCTCTCCAGAACTCCGCGAAACGAGGAGTAAAGGCACAGCCAAACTGATTCCATTTTCTCTAATGGATACCAGCACTGAACGGCAGCGGCTAGCAAGTCCAGTCGACTTTCCTTAGCCACGGACTGCAGACTTCTGAAAGAATGCATGGTCATCAGCATTCGAATCTGGGCTTTGCGCAGGTTGAACAAGAACTTGAGTTCAGAATTATTTTCATTGAGCCGTGCGATCGGAGCAGCTCCTTCTTCACTCGCTCATTGTGTGGGCTCGCTGCTCCGTTTTATCGCTCTCTATCACTCTTCAACGTACTCAGTACTAAAGTGGTAGAGAGGCCAAGCAGCGCAATATCCCCTCGGAGAAGTGATATTTCAGTTTCGCTCGCCATGACTGTCATCACCTATGTTTCCACAGCGCAACCATCGATTCCGGTTGGCTTGTTGTGAAAGGTCGCTTTCCTTGCATCGTACCTCTGTCATGGCATGCCAGGGAAGACCAAGAAAGTGATTGCGACTCATTTCACAGCAGTTTGTGCCCAAATCAGCCCCTCAAAACTCCATCACGAAGTTTTTGTTAACGGAGGAAGTATACACAGCAATGCAAAAAATTTCTGGGTCAATGAAAGTGGGTGCCAGCGCCCTACAAGCAAACCAAAAATCAAACCAATGCGACCACTGACATTACAGCTGGCTCATGTTATAGAGAGGTACGTTGAAATTCAAAGTTGAGACCAAATGGTCAAAATCCGACATTTTCTCACCTTTCTACCCGTTCGCAGCTCAGAAAATGACAATGACCATCCTCATCTCGTTGTGTACCTGGACATAGACAAGGGCACCAAGAAAAACAGTCACATATCTCTAAATAACTCGCCCAGGGCTGCTGAAAGCTGAATATTAACCTATCTCAAAGTTAAGGGCTTGGTACACGTGAATCTTCACTTTGCGACTAAACTATTCACAGCAGTGCCAAATTTTCTGGGTCAATGAATGTGGGTGCCAGCGCCCTAAAAGCAAACCAAAAATCAAACCAATGCGACCACTGACATTACAGCTGGGTCATGTTATAGAGAGGTACGTTGAAATTGAAAGGTCAGTACAAATGGTCAAAATCCGACATTTTCTCACCTTTCTGCCCGTTCGCAGCTCAGAAAATGACAATGACCCTCATCATCTCGTTGTGTCGCTGGACATAGAAAATAGCACCATGAAAAAGAGCCACTTTTCTCTGAAGAACTCACCCAGGGCTGCTGAAAGCTGAAAAACAACCTATCTAGAAGTTTGGGGCTTTTTACCCGTGAATCTTCACTTTGCGACTAAACTATTCACAGCAGTGCCAAATTTTCTGGGTCACTGAATGCGGGTGCCAGCGCCCTACAAGCAAACCAAAAATGAAACCAATGCGACCACTGAAATTACAGCTGGGTCATGTTATAGAGAGGTACGTTGAAATTGAAAGGTCAGTACAAATGGTAAATATCCGACATTTTCTCACCTTTCTGCCCGTTCGTAGCTCAGAAAATGACAATGACCATCCTCATCTCGTTGTGTAGCTGGACATAGACAAGAGCACAAAGAAAAAGACCCACATTTCTCTAAAGAACTCGCCCAGGGCTGCTGAAAGCTGAAAAAGAACCTATCTAGAAGTTTGGGGCTTTTTACCCGTGAATCTTCACTTTGCGACTTAACTATTCACAGCAGTGCCAAATTTTCTAGGTCACTGAATGCGGGTGCCAGCGCCCTGCAAGCTAACCAAAAATGAAACCAATGCGACCACTGAAATTACAGCTGGGTCATGTTATACAGAGGTACGTTGAAATTGAAAGGTCAGCACAAATGGTCAAAATCCGACATTTTCTCACCTTTCTGCCCGTTCGCAGCTCAGAAAATGACAATGCAATCCCCATCTCGTTGTGTAGCTGGACATAGAAAATAGCACCATGAAAAAGAGCCACATTTCTCTAAAGAACTCACCCAGGGCTGCTGAAAGCTGAAAAAGAACCTATCTAGATTGGGGCTTTTTACCCGTGAATCTTCACTTTGCGACTAAACTATTCACCCCAGTGCCAAATTTTCTGGGTCACTGAATGCGGGTGCCAGCGCCCTACAAGCAAACCAAAAATGAAACCTATGCGACCACTGAAATTACAGCTGGGTCATGTTATAGAGAGGTACGTTGAAATTGAAAGGTCAGTACAAATGGTCAAAATCCGACATTTTCTCACCTTTCTGCCCGTTCTCAGCTCAGAAAATGACAATGACCATCCTCATCTCGTTGTGTAGCTGGACATAGACAAGAGCACCAAGAAAAAGACCCACATTTCTCTAAAGAACTCGCCCAGGGCAGCTGAAAGCTGAAAAAGAACCTATCTAGAAGTTTGGGGCTTTTTACCCGTGAATCTTCACTTTGCGACTACACTATTCACAGCAGTGCCAAATTTTCTGGATCACTGAATGCGGGTGCCAGCACCCTACAAGCAAACCAAAAATGAAACCAATGTGACCACTGAAATTAGAGCTAGGTCATTTTGTAGAGAGGTACGTTGAAATTGAAAGGTCAGCACAAATGGTCAAAATCCGACATTTTCTCACCTTTCTGCCCGTTCGCAGCTCAGAAAATGGCAATGACCATCCCCATCTCGTTGTGTAGCCGGACATAGACAAGAGCACCAAGAAAAAGACCCACATTTCTCTAAAGAACTCGCCCAGGGTTGCTGAAAGCTGAAAGAGAACCTATCTAGAAGGTTGGGGCTTTTTACCCGTGAATCTTCACTTTGCAACTAAACTATTCACAGCAGTGCCAATTTTTTAGGGTCACTGATTGTGGGTGCCAGCGCCCTACAAGCAAACTAAAAATCAAACCAATGCGACCACTGACATTACAGCTGGGTCATGTTATAGAGAGGTACGTTGAAATTGAAAGGTCAGCACAAATGGTAAAAATCCGACATTTTCTCACCTTTCTGCCCGTTCGCAGCTCAGAAAATGACAATGACCAGCCTCATCTCGTTGTGTAGCTGGACATAGACAAGAGCACCAAGAAAAAGACCCACATTTCTCTAAAGAACTCGCCCAGGGCTGCTGAAAGCTGAAAAAGAACTTATCTAGAAATTTGGGGCTTTTTACCCGTGAATCTTCACTTTGCGACTAAACTATTCCCAGCAGTGCCAGATTT